AGATCAGAGAGCGAACTGATTTTGGAGCGTTTGGAATGTTCTAGAGAAGTGCCACCACCATTTGGCTTTTATTTATAAGGGAGATTCTGCACCCTCAGAACCACGGCCTCCGACCCTCTTGAAAAATGCAGGGCTTGTGCTGGAGAAGACAACACACAATTCAGGACCCACCATTATTTCCCATTGTCAGCTTCAAAAGGCAATTGGCTCTTCTTTACTACGAAGACAGGTGAAATGCCCTACCTTTACTTCATCTTCATACATGACTTTGCTCATTTGCTTGGTCTCCAACCACCACCAAGTCTCCAGGACAACGTCTTAAGTCTCCAGCTTTCTTAACCCAAGAACCACCGCATGTGCCCTTTGCTTTTGACTCTACAAGGGCCCCGTACCTCTCATTTAGTGCTGGATTGGATAAATTGCTGACTTTTACTGTCACAAAGGGAGAGCCCAGGGGGTGAAAGTAAACCAATATAAACCGGTACTGAGTACTGGTAAGAAAGTCACACCTTAAATCTTCTGCTTCAAGTCCTCCAAGAGACAGTATTAGTAAAAACAATTAATTTCATGACTAGAACTTTATTCTCTCTCTCTTTGTCCCAGCAGCCTGCAGTACAACATGAAAGGGTGTTTTGCTCTCAGAACTATCTAATCCTGCAGACACCATGGTGACCGCCAAGTGCTTTCAGAAAGTGGGAGGGGCCAGATGTGGCTTTTGTCCAGCTCATATAAAGGGGATGACCAGATCAGATGCCCGAAAAATGAAGTCAGACACTCCTAGACAAGGGTTTCTAACTAGCTCAACATGTGTACTATGTGCACATGCAAGAAAACGTTTTTGAACAATGTTCATTCTAAAAGGCATTCTAATAAACAGAGCACCTGTCTGAAATGCTGGAGTCTTACTGCCGGTAGCAGAGTTATGCACAACCTCACTCCCTGACATTTTGTGCTTGGTTCCACTTCCTCCAGCAGCTATTTTGTGGTTGTACCTATGTCAGAATTCCAAAGGTGCTCACAGGCTCAAAAAGGTTGGGGACTTCTGATCCGATGAAGTCTGCAACACCAGCATTCCATGTTAAGAACACAAGCTGCAAATATAGGACCCGGAAACAACTTATTTCTTCTCCCCCACCCCAATCTTTTTTTTTTGTGCTTTTCCTTGCTGATCATCCAACCGAACGAAGAAGTCTGGAGTACTCAAAAGATTTCATGCTATGTTGTGATGTTTCTCATTACTCGAATGAAAGGTGTTACATGGCTTTTACCAGGGGCCAGTGTTGGCTACCTACACTCTTTATCCATAAGTGCTCTTTATCCATAAGTCCTATGCTTGGTGAGTAGGGGAAAGAGCAGGAAGACAGTAGACAGCAGGGTTAGATCAGCCAATCATCTGACTCCATATAAGACCACACTGTAGATTTATTAGCTTATTTTATTGCACTCGGAGGCAACGACAGCTGCTTGCACTAACCAGCAGCAACAAAGACTTCCTCAACACTGTGCCAGGAGATATTGGGGACTGTACCTGGGGCACTCTGCATGCAGGATGCATTCGATGAGCCACAGCCAATGCTCTCCCTCTAAGCTGTGGAGTCTTGTGAGCAAACATTCTCCTTTGTGAGCTACGGGCATTAAAGTTGTAAGCGAGTGATTTGGCTGCTGCATAAATTAGTTTGCTTGGAGTCATCCTTCCTGAGCTGAGACAAAAATGTGTGAGCCAGAGGCTAAAAAACTGTGGGCTAGCTCACACTAACTCAACTTAGAGGGAACACTGGCCACAACCTCTCCAATAGCTATAGAGGATTCTCATATGAAGCTGCCTAAGATTAAGGCCGCGATCACACACACTAAATAATCCACTTTCAATGCACTTTCCAACTGGATTTCACTGCGTGAACTGGCAAAATCCAGTTGGAAAGTGCACTGAAAGTGGATTATTTAATGTGTGTGATCGCAGCCTAAGTGAAACCATCTGTCTATCTAATCAGTGCTGTCAGTTCTCCAGGGTCTCAGGTAGGTCAAAGCTTTCCCTAATATCTGCCCAGTTCCATGGGGTAGCCTTGCCAGTCTATTGTAGCAAAACACAACAAAGCCGGATGCCACCTTGAAGACAAATAACATTAATTGTGGCATGAGCTTTTATGAATCAGAGCTCACCTGAAGCTCTGACTCATGAAAAGCTCGTGCTAGAATAAATGACATTAGTGTTTAAGCTGCCATGGACTTGGATTTTGTTTTGCTAATAGCTGTTGCCTACCTGGAGATGGATTCTGGGAACTTCCGCTTACCGACGGTGTGTTCTACCACTGAGTTATAGCCCATCCCATAAACACAAAGGTTTGTGCAGTGATTCTCCAACCAATGGCTCATTCTTGAATAAGGAAAGGGTTTCTTGAAAAATCCTGCAAAACTTGCTCCGCCCTCCCAGTAAGATTCTTCTCTTATTCCAAAAATTATGACCAAAGTACTTTTGGGGATTCAGTTACTGCTGAGAATCCTCTATCAACATTTTCATGGGTCCTAAGGAAGAGGACTCTCAAAAGACTTGGAATGTCAAAGAAAATAATCCACCAAAAGCCGAATGCGTAAGTAGACCTTTAATTTCCGTAAAATTCCCCATCCAGGGTCAAGTAGCTCACCCATGTTACCAGAACATTGGTTCATCACTGTTCAGTGTCACCACAATAAATACATACAGGAGCAGCCAGAGATTAGGAACGTATCAGGGGGGGAAATATTGCTTTGGTATTGTTGTTCTTTTGCGGCTCGGTTTCCCATTCGGCCCCTGTTTAGAGTTCGGAAGATTGTTTAGGCAAAAACCTTCCGAGTATAAACGAAGCAATGTAACTCAGGCCCTTGGCAAAGTTGGTGATGGCGTCGATGATCAGTAAAAACAACCCGCCAAAGCCCGAAGCGATGTCATGGAGGACGCGGGGAATGGCACCCAAGGTGTAGAAAGGGAAGCACAAAATATCCACGATCAGATTAAGAGGGATGCTGAGCAGGCGGTATATGAGCATCAGAACGTTGTAGATGTTCGACGCGATGCCGTTCAGGATGCAGAGGATCGCCTGCGCCAGGCTGACGAAGACGCTCATCAACGCGCCACAGATTCCTTTGAGGAACGTGCACACCGCCTGGACGAGATTCTGAACGGCCTGACACACAATACTGGCAATCAACTTGACTAGCTGACAAATGAAGCTGCAAACGTACTGCAGCACCTTGAAGATGGGAGTGATGAAGAAGCCACACAGCTTTTTCAAAAAGCCGCTCTCTTCTTTTGTTTCGGCTGTGTGCTGCGACGACGAAGGGGTCTTTTTCACTTGCGCCTCCTCGCCCTCGATCTCCTTGGCAGAATGCTGCACCGCCTCCTGCGCCTTCGGGTCGTTCCTCTCCTGGCTGCAGTGGTCCTTGAACAACTGGGCCCCAGACGAAAGCTGTTCTTCAAGCTCTTTCAAGGGCAGCTCTTTCAGGCGGCTCCCAGCAGCCACCTGTTTCGCAAACGCCGTAGACCAGGACTTGGAGCCGTCGTCGCAGCAGGCCGCCATCCAGAGAGACTCGGGGACGGAAACCTTGTCTTTGACTTTGACAGAAGAAGGAACTGCTCCCGAGAGGAGATAGAGGTCTTTCCCTTTTTCACAGTGAGGTGCCAGAGCTCGGCTTATTAGGTTATTGACTTCCCAGTCCCAAGTTTCCCGGACATCTGAGGGCACCGGGATGGCGTTGGTCAGCGTGTATGTGGCTGCCTGGTGATCGCCCTTATGAAGAGAGCTGGGGTTCAATTGTTGGATCTCATAGCCGGAATCCTTGTAGTCTGCCATGAGGGCCTGGTTTTCCCCCAAATTCTCCACTGAACCTGTGATCTCCGCTTCTGGCATCATGCTTTCCTGGCCATTTTTAGGGTCATCTATCTGAAATGTTGGGAAAAAAGAACAATCATTGAATCCAGAGCCAAAATAAAAACCTGGGCCTGTATCTGCAGTGGGATCAGTGGTGGCGGCGGTGGGTGTTACACTGAAGATTATCCAAGTCCAAATAAAACTTCATCCCAAGCCTCTAAAATAAGTTTTATCAGCAGAGTTTGGATTTTGCAAGATGTATCTCTAGCTATTCACACCCCTACACCAACCTGAGAACTTTGGAGTTTGGCGGATCTGGGGCTGAAAATCTAAACATCATAGGACTGACTTTACAATTCAACTTTGTCTCCTGGCCACCCTAGGTTTAAATTAACTTTGTTGCCCACAGTTTGATACTCTATACAGATGCTATAGCAGCTACAGCCCCCCACTTCACAGATTACACTGTTTTGTTATTGCTTTAGCGACTAATAAAAATGCTTCGTTTTTAGATTTGTGTTTTACAGTCTCCTATGCACATTCCATACATTATAATGTTCGCGATAACCCTGCAAGACGAAGAACAAATGTAGAGCCCAGTGGCACCTTTAAGACCAACCAAGGTTTATTCGAGGTATGACCTTCCGTGTGCATGCATGCTTTGTCAAATACACTGGAATGGAAGCTAGATTTCAAACTTATAGAGACAGGCTGAACAGCAAATCAACCTGTAACATGCGTGCACATGGAAGCTCATACCTTGAATAAACCTTTGTGGGTCTTAAAGGTGCCGCCGGACTCTACGTTTGTTCTCCTGCTCCAGAGCAACACGGCCGACCACCTGAACCTGTAAGGTGAGTTAGGTGATGGCCGCTAAGTGGCTGAGGCAGAGGGCTGGCTAAAGAACACTTCATGCTGGGGTCCCCAACATAGTGTCGATGAACCAGGGCTCTTTTTGTAGCAGGAGCTCCTTTGCATATTAGGCGACACACCCCTAATGTAGCCAATCCTCCAAGAGCTTACAGAGCTCTTCTTACAGGGGCTACTGTAAGCTCTTGGAGGATTGGCTACATTAGGGGTGTGTCACCTAATATGCAAATGAGTTCCTGCTACAGAAAGAGCCCTGTAACCTTTCCTGGTGCCCGCCAATGATTTACAGAAAGTGGTCAGGGACCGGGGACCGGGGGGGGGACTTTTGCCCAGGAGGGCTTTTGATTATCCACTGGAGATCTGACCGGCTGTGCAGATTCAAAAAACGTTGCTTCAGCAGCCGCTGCCACCACAGCTCCAAGACCTTCAATGCAAGGCTGAAGGTAAGCTGTCCGTATGGAAGAAAACTTCTTTAAAAATTCATGTTAAACAGCATCCTATTAAGCAAGACTTCTGCCTGAAACGCTGGAGAGTTACTTTCAGAGTATTCTGCGTAGCCTCGGTTGCCTGACACTCTGTGGCTGCTCTTCTGTGGTTGGCTCCCTTGCCAGCCATTTTGGGGTTCCTCCCACCGCCTTGTCAGGATTTTAAAGATGCCCACGGGTTCAGAAAGGCTCCTTTCCTGGTGCCCGCCAATGATTTACAGAAAGTGGTCAGGGACCGGGGACCGGGGGGGGGACTTTTGCCCAGGAGGGCTTTTGATTATCCACTGGAGATCTGACCGGCTGTGCAGATTCAAAAAACGTTGCTTCAGCAGCTGCTGCCACCACGGCTCCAAGACCTTCAATGCAAGGCTGAAGGTAAGCTGTCCGTATGGAAGAAAACTTCTTTAAAAATTCATGTTAAACAGCATCCTATTAAGCAAGACTTCTGCCTGAAACGCTGGAGAGTTACTTTCAGAGTATTCTGCGTAGCCTCGGTTGCCTGACACGCTGTGGCTGCTCTCACCTCCTCCAGTCGCTCTTCTGCGGTTGGCTCCCTTGCCAGGCATTTTGGGGTTCCTCCCACCACCTTGTCAGGATTCTAAAGATGCCCATGGGTTCAGAAAGGCTGGGAGCCCCTGGCCTGACGGGAGTACGGACATTTGCGCTCCTACATCATGGTCAAAAGCCCAGTTCCTACTTCAGGAGAATGTGCTGGTAGAACAGTCTGCACAAATACCAGCTCTGAATTGGGCCTTCATGTTTTTTAAAAAAATAATTAGAAATGCCAAGCAAACAGAAAACTAGGACAGCAGTCAGAAAAGGGTCTAGCCCCTCTTCTTCTTTTTGCCTGCTATGCTCATTTTCTCTTTGCTGGAATTTTTTTCCCCCCAGAGGCGCATTCCAAAATATGATCTTCCCCACACAGTTGGAGGTGCTTCGGACTTTTTCAGCCCCATTGGCATTCTGCTACCCAGTCACTGTCCTACGTGTGTGAGCCAGGTCTCGCAATCCAGGCGTAAGCAGTTAACACCCTTCTAAGCCCACTGAATTCAATGGACTTAGAAGGGTGTAACTCTGCTGACAGCCACACTGTGAGTTAGGAACTCGCTTATACGCGCTTGTGTTCTCGCAGGAAGAAGAAATAAAAGAATAACAGGCGGTATTACCCTGCTGTGTGTTGCAATCTCATAATTATAGAAACACTTCTATTTTATCTTTGTTGTGTGTAGCATCTACTTTATGGCCACAATCCCACAGAGAGCTAAAACCTCTGAAATTGTTTAGCAGGAGGAGGAGGAGGAGAGGTTGGATTTATACCCCACCCTTCACTACACAAAGGAATCTCAGAGCTGTTTACAATCCCTTTCCCCTCCCCTCCCCACCCCACAACAGACACCCTGTGAGGTAGGTGGGGCTGAGAGAGCCAGTTTGGTGTAGTGGTTAAGTGCGTGGACTCTAATCTGGGAAAACCAGGTTTGATTCCCCACTCCTCCACTTGCAGCTGCTGGATGACCTTGGGCAAGCCATACTTCTGTCAGAGTTGTTCTTGAAAAAGAGTGGTTCTTGAAAGAGCTCTCTCAGCCCCACCTACCTCACAGGGTGTCTGTTGTGGGGAGGGGAAGGGAAAGGAGTCTGTAAACTGCTCTGAGACTCCTCTGGGTAGTGAAGGGTGGGGTATAAATCCAATCTCCTCCTCCTCATCGTCTCCTTCTTCCAAGAGCTGCTCTTGAGAGAACAGCTCTGCGAGAACTGACGACTGACCCAAGGTCACACCAGCAGCAGAATATGGAGGAGTGGGGAATCCATGCTTTCTGTTAGATTAAAGCCTATGAATAGTAACCATTATCTGTCTCACACATTTTTATTCCTTCCCCTTGCCCCAAGAATACCTGTTCTTCCTTCCTGGTTCTTCCTTCCCCCATTTTATCCCCGCATCAGTTCTCTGGGGGAGGTGAAGCTGAGAGCTTCCATGGCAGATTGGAAACTTATCTATTTATTTATTTATCTTTACATTTATATCCCGCCCTCCCCGAAGGCTCAGGGCGGCTCACAAGGGGCATAAATGCCTGGTTAAAACAATGAACAATATAAAGCAATATAAAACACAATATGCATAA